ACTCTCGAACCACCAGCAAAACTCCTGTGACCTACTCCCCAAACACCAGCAAAATCCCTGTAACCCACTCCCCAAACACCAGCAAACCCCCTGTGACCCACTCCTGAACCACCAGCAAAACACATCAGACCCACTCCCGAAACACGATGAAAATCCACTGGTGCACAAGAACAGAAAAATGACATTTAGCCCCTTGATCATATTCTACTATTCAAGGAGATCATGGATGGTTTGTCATCTTAATCTATTTGCCCGTCTTCCATCTGTCCCTTAATTATGAGTTTTACTGACTTTAAATCTGTAATGTTCATTTTGCATTAATTTCCTACTGAGGAAGAGCATTTTAACCATTTCCCACCTTATGTGTGTCAAAGTGTTTCCAATTTTCACTCTCGATTGGTCTGGCTCTAATTACACTGACTCTAGTCTGAAACTACACACCCTAACCAGTGGAAACAGTTCCCCTCGCTCTACATATCCACTTCTCTTAATTTCTTGAAAACCTCCATTAAATCAGCCCTTAACCTTCGACATTTCAGGGAACACAACCCTAGTTTTTTAAATCTCTGTGCAATTTAACCCTTGATGTCTACATTTCATTGTGGTCCGCCTACTCTGCACTCCCTACTAGATCCAAAAACTCCTCACGGTCTGGTCTCCTGAACTGCTGCGAGTTCTCCATCAGATCCAGCCCTACCCACCACACTGCACTCTGCAAACATTCGGTGATTCAGAATCCTGGGAGAGTAACACCAAACTCCAGGAACCAACTACAGCAAGAACTTACAGAATAATGACTTCCATGAGGAAGTCGAGCAGGCGACAGGAGACCACATCCAGGATGAGATGTTTATGGTTGTTTCTACAGCCCAAACCCCACCTCTCAAAGATATCTCGAGGTTGAGACCCTTATAGGAGCAACCATTTCTACAAGGTCAGTATGAAGTCTCAGTGTTGAATTTTAACAGCTGGTCTTAGTGATGACACAGAGATAGAGAGAGACACTAAGCTCAGAGTCCACCCTCAGATTTATAGTTAAAACCAGCTCCAATATCTCAATTACAATGATCTGCTCCCAACATTGACCAACACCAATCATACCTCAGGTATGGTTGAACTGTGAGAAGGTGACCTTTCGTCAGAAGCTGTTAATGGAAAGAGAGGCATTAAAAACTTTTCATTATCACAGCGAGAGAAAAAATGATGGAGACAGCACACACGAGAGGAAGAATGACAGAGTGCAGGAGAGAGAAACAAGAGAGAGGGAGTGCGGGAGAAGGCATGAATGGGAGAAACGAGAGACAGAGAAAGCATGAGAGAGACAAATGAAAGAGAAAGTTCAACAGCAGGAGAAATGAGAGATAGAGAGTATGAGGGGTGAAAATGAAAGTCATAGAGAGAACGCACGAGAAAGAGGGAGAGAGCACCTGAGGAGAAATGAGAGAGAGAGAGAGCTCGGGAGAGAGCAAGAGGAGAATGAAGGACAAACAGACCACACTAGTCGAGACTAGACCAGACAAACAACAAAACCTGACATTACTGGAGAAACTCAACACCTGAGACAGCATCTGTAGAGAGAAAGCACAGTTAATGCTTTGGGTCCAGTGACACTCCTAACAGAACTCCAAAGGACTCAAAATGTTAACGTTTATTCTCTCAATAGATGCTGCCAGAGCTGCGGAGTTTCTTCAGTAATTTCTGTTCTTTTTGTGTTTCAGATCTCCAGCATTTTGTGGATCTTTGTTTGAAACAGAAAGAAGTTAGTCAAACAGTAACAGAGATATGTGCATTGTCAGCTTACTGTTTGTGCAATTGTAGTTGCTCTTCACTCCTCCTGTGAAACAAGGAATGTTCAGTGAGTGTCGACAGACTGTCAGAAAATCAGAGGAAATGCTAGAGACCCTCACTCCCATCCAGACTCAGCCCCTCATGCCCACATTGCCCTGATCTGCTGACACCCAACAGTGAACTGAGAGCCAGCCCCAATCTGAAATATCTGACTTTACATTCACAACGTGAGACTCTGAACCCTGAGACCTTCCACATTATCCTGAGAAACAGGGCACCATCGCAGACCCTCCTTCACAAACTGAGGCCCTCTCCCCACAGCCTGAGCCATTGCTAACACAGACTCCTAAACACAGAGATTCCTTGCCCACCCTCCGAACCCAAGCAAATAACCGAAGACCATAAGATACTGCAGCAGAATTAGGCTATTTGGCCCATCGGGGTTGCTCCACCATTCAATCGTGGCTGATATATTTCTCAAACCCATTCACCTGTCTTCTCTGCGTAACCCTTGATCCCCTTACCAAATAAAAGCCTACTATCCCTGTCTTTAAGGCACTCAATGACTTGGCCTCCACACCGTTCTGCAACAATGGGTTTCCACAGAATCACTGCCGTCTGGCTAAGGAAATTCCTCCTCAGTTCTAAAGGATTGTCCCGTCTCGCTGATTCTGTTCCCTTGGATCCTAGTCTCTCCTGCTAGTGGAAACATCTTCTCCACATCCACTCTATCCAGGCCTCTCAGTAATCTGTAAGTTTCAATGAGATTCACTCCAACCTTCAAAACTCCATGGAATACAGACCCACAGTTCTCAACCATTCCACATATGACAAACCCTTCAACCCAGGGATCATTCTTGTAAACCTCCTCTGGATTCCCAAGGGCAGCACATCCTTTCTTAGATATCGGGCCCAAAACTGCTCAAAATGTTCCTTCACCTTATTCTGGCCATCTCCTTTCCGGCTCTCCAAATCCCTGAACCCCCAGTGAGGTGCTACCATTTTCTCACAAACTCTTACCATTCTTCTCATAAACAACGACAGCCCCAACAGCGACAGCGATGATCCCGAGGACTCCAAGTACAATCCCAACAGTAACAGGAACCTGTGAGAGAGACTTTGGGTCTGGCAGATAGACAGAGAGAGAGCAAGAGAGAAAGAGAGAGAGAAAATCAGAGCGGGTGAGAGAAAAAAAAGAGGGAGAGAGACAGAGACAGGGTGTCGGGGAGGTAAGAGAGTCAGACAGTGACAGACACAAAAGAGAGGGGAAGCAGGGAGAGAGAGCACGAGCGCAAGAAAGTAAAGAAAAATGTGCGTTATACAGGATATACTGCATACATTCAGGTCATTTGGTCCAATCAGTAAATAGTCACTTTTATCCACTGAAGCTCCTTCCTCATCTAAATCTGTCACTGACACTTGCTATTCCTTTCTAATTTCCACTTAAATACATTTCAACAAGTCAGGTTCCCTGCAGCAGCAATCTTCACATTCTCCCCATTCTTTGGCTGGAGAAGTTTCTTTTGAATTTCTTTTGGAATTTTGGTGACTGTCTTGTGTTGGTAGTCTTGAGTTTCTTCCCCAAACACGCGCTCTGCACCCACTCTATCAAATTGTTTTATTCATTTAAAGATCTCTATAGACTCACCCTTCAGGCTTTATTATTCAAGACAGAGGAGACCCAGCCTGCCAATCCATTTCCTGATAATGTTCACTCACATATTTCTGACATCATCATTGTAAATCTTCTCTGCACTCTCTCCAGTACCTGACTATCCTTTAAACCACATGGTGACCTGAACTGTCTGCAGTACTCTGCATGGTAGTAGTCTCTTCACATTTCAGGAGAGATTTAACAGAATAACAAAACATTCAATTCTATTACGAAAGGTAAGAAGTTTTACTGCCTGATTTGCGGCACAGAGACTCAGTGGTTAGCACTGCTGCCACACAGAGTCAGGGACCCAGGTTCAATTCCACCCTCGCGTGACTGTTTGTGTGGAGTTTGCACATTCTCCCTGTGTCTGCATGGGTTTCCTCTGGGTGGTCCAGCTTACTTCCACAGTCCAAAGATGTGCTGGGTTGTCCAGGGATGTACAGGCTAGGTGGATTAGCCACAGGAAATGCAGGGTTACAGGGATAGGGTGAGAGTGGGGGGTGGTGAGTCTCGGTGAATTCTCTTCGGAAAGTCAGTGTGGACTCAATGGGCCAAACAGCCTGCTTGCACACTTTACGGATTCTATGTTTATGTTTATTGCCTACCCCTAATTTGGAGATATCTGCAAATTTAGGAACTATTTTTGATCAACAGAATCACTGATTGATGAGATACAGCAGACTCAACCAAACTGCCTGCTGCATAAGCTTCCTCTCCTTGGGATTTTGGATTGTCTGTCTCCTATCACAAAGGATTGTCTAAAGCTCATCTCTGCCCTTTCGTAGAATATCTGGAAATGTCTCTCATTCCTGGGACTGTCTGGGATTCCTGCCTCATCTTCTTGAGAATGTCTGGTGTCGCTGCCCATAATAAAAATGGGAATTTAATTCTAAAACTCTGTTTAAATAAAACAATATTCATGGTCATGGGAGAAAAGACAGTTTGGTACTGAGTGAAGCTGTAGGGTCCAGAAAAGCTTCAATCCTGGTTGTGATGGCACACTTGTTTCCTCCATCACCACCAGCTGTTTTAGACTCACCAGGACGGGATCTTTCTGTGCTCACAGAAGTGACTGGAAAAGTGTTCAGAAAGTCTACAACCAGAATGGACTCTTCCAGGGGAGGCACCACCATTGGGGTATCTATCAGTGGGAGGCAACTCAACGCTTCCGCACCAGGTGAAACCGATATTCCTGGTCCTAAGGTGAGGGTGAATGGCAGCAGGAATGCCAATGCCGGCCACATGCCTCCTCAGAGCGAGAGAGACAGTTTACTTCAGGCACGTACTGTTTTCTCTCACTGCCACTGAAATAACTGCAGGTATCTGTTCACCGAGTCACCCTTTATTTACCTGTGCACAGTACATGGGCTCTGACCAGCCAACTCAAAGCCTGTCCTTGGACTGAGGAGACCTTCTGAATCCCTGTTACAATTCTGTTTCTTTTTTCTGACCACCCCCATCAGCTGTTTTTGTTTAAATTTACATAATTACAGTAAAGGGATAGTAGGAACTGCAGATGCTGGAGAATCTGAGATAACAAGGTGTAAGAGCTAGGTGAACACAGCAGGCCAAGCAGCATCAGAGGAGCAGGAAGGCTGATGTT